TTCCTTGTTTCTCCTGCTTTATCTTGCTTCTTTGTGTGGACTGTGATGCTCTGTTGTCTCTGAGGCATTGTGACATTTTTGTGTTTATATTTAATAGGTAATTATATGTTGGAGTGACTTGCCCACAATTTTCGTTTTCTTTGTTTTGTTTGTATGCTATCTGTACAGGAAGGGTACTGTGCTGTGCTCCTTTATTCACTAGTTGACTGCACTTATACACTCACCACCTGTCTCCTTTCCTTTGTCAGCCTCTCGTATGTCCTTGATGACCCTGGCAAACAGAGTTTGTTCTTAGGTCCCTGGAATCCGAATGAGAATGCTATCACTTTTAAATGCAAAATGGTTGCCCCTTGTAAACAATCAAAATGGCTGTGCCTTCCAGACAGCAAAAAGTCCACAGTTCAGGTAGTCTCCCTCTTTGCTGTTTCCTTTCCTAGTTATAGGTCACCAGAGCAGTTGTCCCTGCAGCCCTTTGTGATTGGGGCTGATCTTTAGATCAATTCTCAAGTCCCAATCCTACTTGGAAATATTCAGGCTGTTGGTCCCATTAGAGTAGCTGACAGTCCGAAGCTCCAACCATCTCTGTACTCACTGTTTTTGTTCAGGTTTTTCCACTAGTTGGTGCCTAACCCACTTCTGTATAGTTCCTTTCAAGCTCAGGGCTCCAGGATTATCTTCTGTAGCTCTGTCAATTGTTTTTTCTTTTCTTTATTGAAGAGGGTCTGTGTCACTTGTCTGTCTATTCCTCCATCTTATAAGAAGTCCTCTGTAATAAACTTTTTAATGGTTTAAGTATGAAAGTGAAACATCCTAAGGGAGACAGAGGAGAATGGTTCCTGAGCAATGAAGTCAGTACAAAGGAACATGGTAGTATTGGTTCTGGGCTACTGAGACCAGGTACAAACTGGACATTTACTGTCCTGGCTGGCAGTAAAAAGATGGTTAAGGGCATAAGATATCCTGATGAGCCATGAAATTGGCTAAAATTCTATCATTTGCAGAAATGTCACTGTCAGCTGAACACTGATTAAGGGTAAAGAAAGGAAGAGCTTGGGGAACAGGATTCAATAAATCTTTGTGATTTCTCCTCTGGCTTTTTTTTTCAGGGTTGATTCCTTCAAACTAACAAGGCAGTGACATGGATAAAAGAAATGAGACTTTGAATGTGGATTTCATCCTCTTAGGCCTCTTTCCTGGTAAGAAAAATGTCGATTTCCTTGTCTGCACCATCCTCCTGATCTACACTGTGGCTCTCACTGCAAACTCCATCCTCATTCTCTTGATCTGGGTGGATTCTCACCTCCACACACCCATGTACTTCCTGTTTAGCCAGCTGGCCGTCATGGACCTGACATTAATCTCTAGCACTGTACCCAAGATGGCAACTGACTTCTTTTCAGGAGGGAGAAACATATCACGGATGGCCTGTGGGACTCAGATCTTCTTCTTTCTGACACTAGGAATTGCTGAGTGCATTCTCATAACTCTCATGTCCTATGATTGGTATGTGGCCATCTGCAACCCTCTGAGATATGCTCTCATCATGAACCAGAGAGTCTGTCTGCAGATGGCTGCCTTCTCCTGGGTAGGGGGTGCCCTTACGTCATTGGCACACACAGCCTATGCCATGCATCTTCCCACCTGTGGTTCTAGAGAGATTTCTCATTTTCTCTGTGAGGTCATGGCCATTCTAAAGTTGGCCTGTGAGGATACCTCCCCCTATGAGAAGGCTGTGGTGGTGACAAGCATTGTGGTACTCCTCATTCCCTTGTCCCTCATCCTGTCCTCTTATGCTCTTATCTTCTGTGCTGTCATTCATATGAATTCCCCTGAGGGCAGGAACAAAGCCCTGGCCACCTGTTCCTCCCACCTGACTGTTGTGAGCCTCTACTTTGGTCCAGCCATGCTG